ACCACCAGTAATAATGAGTTAATCCTTCACAAAAAAGCCAAACCCATGGCCATGGAGACTGTTCTATAAATCTTTATGGGAGCAGATAGACTTATCTTTCTACAACAGAGTGACTGGTGGATTTGAACTGCCAACCTGTGATTAGCACTCCAGTGCTCATTCTACAGCATCAACGACTAACCCTTATACAACCTTAAATGTTGGTACAGATGCTTCTCCTCCAGGCAGGCTTTCCAGACTCTGCCATACCAGTTAGTTTGAGAAGCTCCCTTCATTGTGCCACAGCTCTTTCTACCTTACATGTAAATGTTTACTTGTCAATTTCTCTTATTAATGAACAAAGATACTTACAGTTTTATTCCTGGTGGGCCTCAGTGACTGTTGAATTCAACTGTGGTACTTTACTTGTCTCGCAGCTAAGAGAACTAAACTGAGCTTTGTGACTGTTTTCCTGCACACCCCTCCCCTATCATGTCTTTTCCCTCAATTTAAAACATTAGACTTACTTGTCCAGTGACATCCCAGGGAACACAAACTTGCCCAGGCAGATGCAATAGACAGCACTCAGGGGGATCCGCTGCAGCTGCACACAGCTAAGCATGATGAAATCATATTTGCAGATGAAGAGAGTCTTGTCTGTGACCAGCACAATTTTCTCCTTCTCATTGTTCCAGTGGTCTATCCTGTAGAATAATCACAGAGAAGAAAAGTTGATGACATAACCTACCCAGGGTAAAGATAATGACATTCACTGAAATATCTGTCCTATCACCAAAAGGAGTGAAGTTTGCCCTCCAAAAAGGCATGACTAAGGATTCTCTAATTCCACTACCTCTCTGGTAGCCTGGCCCCTTGGTCAGGGCAGGAGGGAATATCAAGACAAATGACTTCTTCATTGCAAATACCTGTTTTAAACAATATAAAAGACCACTATACAAATGAACCTCATCAGTTGAAATACACAGAAATCCAATTGACTACATCTGTAAAAAGAGACAGTGGAAAAACTCCATATCACCAGTCAAAACAAGACCAGGTGCAGAATGTGGAAGAGAACATCAATTGCTCATTTGCAAGTTAAGACTGAAGTTTAAGAGAGTTAAAACAAGTCCATGAGAGCTAAAATCTGACCTTGCACATATCCCATCTGAATTTAGAGATCAGCTTAAGAATGAATTTGATGAATTAGACACTAATGACCAAAGACCAGAAGAGTTGCAGGATGACATCATACAGGAAGAAAGTAAAAGGTCATTAAGAAGACAAGAAAGAAGGAAAAGACCAAAATGGATGTCAGAAGAAACTCTGAAACTTGCTCTCCAGCATAGAGGCTAAAGCAAATGGAAGAAATGAAGAGGTAAAATAAAAGAACAGAGAATTTTAAAAGGCAGTTCAAGAAGTCAAAGTCAAGTATTGTAATGAAATGGGCAAAGTACTAGGGCTAGAAAATCAAAAGGGAAGAACACACTCAGCATTTCTCAAATGAAAAGAACTGAGAAAAAAATTCAAGTCTCAACTTCTGATACTGAAGGATTCCATGGGCAAAATACTGAATGATGCAGAAAGCATCAAAAGAAGATGGAAAGGGGAGGTGGGGCTTGCTGGCAGATTAGGTAGAAATTCAGTGAGGATCTCTGTCAGGAATAACACAGAATACTAGATGAAACAGGTTCAGGGGACAATTCCAAAACTCTGAAC